ATGGCGGCCTCGGGCCATTTCGGCACACCCCTCACGAGGATCGTGGCCCCATAGGGAACTCCACCGAAGGCCCCAGTGGCAGGGTTCGCATGGCGGCCTCGGGCCATTTCGGCACGCCCCTCACGATGATCGTGGCCCCATAGGGATCTCCACCGAAGGCGCCAGTAGCAAAGTTCGCATGGCGGCCTCGGGCCATTTCGGCACACCCCTCACGAGGATCGTGGCCCCATAGGGAGCTCCACCGAAGGCCCCAGTGGCGAAGCTCGCATGGCGGCCTCGGGCCATTTCGGCACACACCTCAAGGATCGTGCCAATTCGGCACACCCCTCGAGGATCGTGGCCCCACAGCTGTGCTGCTTCAACAACTGCGCCTTGTCGACGTGCAACGCCACCTCGTCCCTCATGGCTCTCAAAGCCCTCTCCTGCTCGTGCTCCTCGGTCAGATGGGGCGCCGTCCTTGTCGTCGTCGGCGCCCGCGAAGACGGCCACGAACGTGTTCCTGAGCATGTCAGGTTCCGGCCAGAAGCCGTGGCCACATATGGAGCGCGGGCGAAGATGGTATTCACACTTGCGGTCTTCACAACTGCATGTGGTTGGGTCCTTCGCCAGGCGAATTTCTGTTGAAAGCGCGGCCGGGGTTCTGACTTCGGAAATCCGATGACAAATTCCACCTGCATCGATCGTGGGCTTGGAGATGGGCGCGGGCAGCGAAGCTACGCACGGAAACAGTGTTTAAGCGAGAGCCCCCATTGGAAGACGACCTGCTCTCTATCCTCTGCGCCGTGGCAGACTTTTATGGAGCGAAGGTGGGCGGCGCCCAGGCGACCACCCCACTTTGACAAGGCTTCGCCGCCTATCCTCGACACCACCTCTTAGTTTTGAGGTGATCATGCCCTCGCGGCAGAAGACCTGAAACAGCAAATCGGAGGTCAGCGGGTGCGGTCGCAGTGAAGTGGGGGGCCCCCCGCCAGGGAGTCGGTTTCGGTGTCGTGTTCTTGCCGTGCGTGCGGGCGAGGCAGAGCTGCGTGGGCTGGCAAGAGGAATGAACCCTCCTCTGGCTAGGGCCAAACGACCGCCCCCCCCCCCAGGTTGTCCGACGGTGGCAGGGGATGTCCTGGGGATGTCCCGCTGGTGTCCCGTCGGTGTCCCATAGTGAGATCGACAGTGGGATCGATAGTGACACCGATGGTGAGATCGATTCAGAGCTCGATATTGAGTCGACAGTGAGATCGATCGTGCGGTCGATACTGATATCGATAGCGAGATCGATAATGTGATCGGTAGTATGATCGATAGTGTTATCCATAGTTGGATCGATTGCGAGATCGATCTAAGATTGATGGTGATATTGATATTGAGAGGGTTCGTGTCATCTATTGCGAGACCGATCGTAAACTTGATAATGATATCAACGGTAATATCGATCGAGTGGGATCTATCGTGAGATGGACGTTGGGATCGGTAATAATGATTCCGATGGTGAAATTGAGTGTGAGGTCGATCGTGAGATCGATGAGGAGAGCGACAGTGAGATCAATCGGCAGATCGATCGAGAGATCGATCGGGAGATCGAGATCGAGGTCGACCGTGGGATCGATAGTGAGCTCGACAGTGGGCTCGATCGTGAGATTGATCGAGGTAGGCGCTGATTCTGCGGGAGACCACCCAGCAGGACACGACGGACGGGCGACGAGACGGGCGACCATACGCGAGACTGTGCGGGACACCACCCCGGAGAGACCCTATGGGCGGGAGGCCATGCGTGAGGCCATACGAGAAACCACCTGGAGACCGTGCGGGAAGCCAACTGGGAGGCCATACAGTGCCGTTTTAAAGATCCCATGCTTTCAACAAAAACCTATGTATGAAAAACCTGCCCTGTGCTGGAGGCCATACTGGAAGCCATGCCGGAGGCCCAAGCTCTACGGGAAGACCATGCGGGACGCCATACGGGCGACAATCCATGGAGACCGTGCGGGAGACCGTACGGGAGGCCATCCGGGTGGCCATACGGAAGACCATACGGGAGGCCATACGGGAGACCACACGCGAGGCCATGCGGGACGCCATACGAGAGAGCACTCGGGAGACCAGCCAGGAGGCCATGCGGGAGACGACAAGGGAGACCAGTCGGGACCACACGAGAAACCATGCGGGAGACCATCCGGGAGACCATCTGGGAGAACATCCAGGAGACCATACAGGAGACCAGCCAGGAGACAACACGGGAGGCCATATGGAAGACCGTACCGATGAGTCTCGCAGGCAAGAACTAGCATGAGTAGGAATAGTCATCATATTACGAACTGTAGGATTAACAGTGCTGTCAGTGAGGGAGACCATCCGGGAGGCCATATCGGAGACCATCCGGGAAGCCATGCAGGAAGACGCGGGAAGCCATTCAGGAAGACATAGGGGAGGCCATGCGGGACGCCACTTTGGAGACCAGGCGGGAAATTTCTCACGGGAAGGCTATAGAGAACGCCACACGGCAGGCAAGACATGATACAGTCCGGAAGGCCGTACGGGAGACCATCTGGGAGGCCATATGATCTCTCGTGCTCTCTTCTATTCCCTCCCCCTTTTCCCTTCCTTGCATCCGTCCTCTCCCCTGCCTGACGGGCTGCACGAAGTACACGCTGCAGGTAAGAAAGAGAGACCCCCAATGGGGGTACGATCGAAGATGAACAGGGCTGGCATCGAGCGTTTCGGATATACGTGTTGAACGGCAAGGATCGTTGTTGATGGTGTTGCTGTTGCTCTTGCTGCTACTGTTGCTGTTGCTGTTTATGTTGTTGTTATGGTTGTGATTGTTGTTATTCCTGCTGCTGCTATTGTCGTTGCTGCTGATGTTGCTGTTGCGGTGTTTGTTGTTGTTGGTGTCGTTGTCGTTGTGGTTGTTGTTGTTGTTGTTGTTGTTGTTGTTGTTGTTGTTGTTGTTGTTGTTGTTGTTGTTGTTGTTGTTATGGTTCTTGATGGTGATGGCGATGGCGATGGTGATGATGGTGATGACAATGATGATAATGACGCTGTTGATGATGATGCTGATGCTGATCCTCATGCTGCTGCTGCTGCTGATGCTGCTGATGCTGAGGATGTTGATGATGCTGATGATGATGGTGATGGCGATGATGAGGATACTTACGATGATGCCCTCTGAGGCACTGCCCAGAGGGCCGTAGAGAGCTGAACTCAGGAGGCCCGTGTCTGATTCGACGCGTATTCGTGGCTGTTCCAAGAGTTGACATCTCCTCCCTCTCCTTGTCCGCCTTCTCGTCCTCCTCTTCCTAGCCTCCTGTTGTGACGCCAAGTCCCGTGGAAGCAGCGCGCGCTGACCAGTCAGCGGTCTTGTCGTGCCTCCCCGTCCGGGTACGCAGGGGAAGGTGGGAGTGGCCAAGCGATGCCTCCACGCTCCCGTCGCTGTACACTTCTGCGACCTGCCCGCGACCAGCCACGACCTGCGACCTGCCACCACCCACCGCAACCATCTGCGACCTGCCCCGACCTCTGTGGCACGCCAGCGGGACAGAGCGCGACCTCTGCATGACCCGCCTGCGATCTGCATGTGGCGATCGTCATCGGCCCGCCCGCGGCGCCGTTGTCGAGCATGTGCCGACCCTCCAATGATTTGTTTCTCGGGCGGCTCGCGCGCCTTCTGGGCGGAGCCTGACCAGAGGAGCTGGGCGCGTCGCGCGCCCTCCTCACAACAAAAATATTACAAGCATAAACTTTCGGAGCTCCGCGCGGATTCCTCGGATCGCGGTGGGGCCCCTCTGGCGGCGCCCCCAGCGCCGTCCCTGGTGCGCTCCGTGCGCCAGGGAGGGGGGCCCAGCGCCGATCCAACGAGTCCGCGAGGGGCTCCGAAAGTCTATGGTGATGCCGTTGCTTGCTCTTTTATTCTCTTGCGCAGGGTGTCTAGAGCTCCGACCACTTTATTTCGGCGTCGTCGTCGCTCCCCCCCAGCTGCCTTGTGCCCTTCATGTGTCGCTATATGTGTCGCTGTGTGCCTTGTGCCCTTCATGTGCCGCTATATGTGTCGCTGTGTGTCGCTATGCGTCTCCATGTGTGCGTCGCTATGTGTCGCTGTGTGTCGCTATGCGTCGATATGTGTGTGTGTGTGTGTGTCGATATATGTCTCTATATGTCGATATGTGTCGACATGTGTCGCTATGTGTCGCTCCCCAGCACCCCAGCGCACCGCCCCCTCCGCCCCGACGACTTTATTTCGGCGTCGTCGTCGCCCCCCCCCCCTCTCCCTTTCCTCAGCAGCCCAGCGCGCTGCCCCCTCCGCCCCGACCACTTTATTTCGGCGTTGTGTCGACATGTGTCGCTATGTGTCGCTCCCCAGCACCCCAGCGCACCGCCCCCTCCGCCCCGACGACTTTATTTCGGCGTCGTCGTCGCCCCCCCCCCTCTCCCTCTCCTCAGCAGCCCAGCGCGCTGCCCCCTCCGCCCCGACCACTTTATTTCGGCGTTGTGTCGACATGTGTCGCTATGTGTCGCTCCCCAGCACCCCAGCGCACCGCCCCCTCCGCCCCGACGACTTTATTTCGGCGTCGTCGTCGCCCCCCCCCCCCCTCTCCCTCTCCTCAGCAGCCCAGCGCGCTGCCCCCTCCGCCCCGACCACTTTATTTCGGCGTCGTCGTCGCCCCCCCCCGGTCCTTTTCCCCAGCAGCCCAGCGCACCGCCCTCTCCGCCCCGACCACTTTATTTCGGCGTCGTCGTCGCCCTATTTCGGCGTTGTGTCGACATGTGTCGCTTTCCCCAGCAGCCCAGCGCACCGCCCTCTCCGCCCCGACCACTTTATTTCGGCGTCGTCGTCGCCCTATTTCGGCGTTGTGTCGACATGTGTCGCTATGTGTCGCTCCCCAGCACCCCAGCGCACCGCCCCCTCCGCCCCGACGACTTTATTTCGGCGTCGTCGTCGCCCCCCCCCCCCCCCTCTCCCTCTCCTCAGCACCCAGCGCGCTGCCCCCTCCGCCCCGACCACTTTATTTCGGCGTCGTCGTCGCCCCCCCTGTCCTTTTCCCCAGCAGCCCAGCGCGCCGCCCTCTCCGCCCCGACCACTTTATTTCGGCGTCGTCGTCGCCCCCCCCATCCCCCTCTCCCGAGCAGCCCAGCGCGCCGCCCCCTTCGCCCCGACCACTTTATTTCGGCGTCGTCGTCGCCCCCCCCCCCCTTCTCCCCAGCAGCCCAGCCCAGCGCACCGCCCCCTCCGCCCCGACCACTTTATTCTCTTGCACAGGGTGTCTAGAGCTCCGACCATTTTATTTCGCGTCGCTCCCCCCCCCCCCGCGTCCTCAGCGCCAGAGTGGGGCCCCCGCGCCGTGGCTCTCTGCCCCAAGCCCCCCCGCGTCCCCAGCGCCCCAGCGGGGGCCCCGCCCACTGCCCCCTCCGCCACGAACGCTTTATCCCGCGTCGCCCCCCCCGCCCCCCCGCGTCCCCAGCGCCAGTGTGAGGCCCACGCGCCGTGGCTTTCTGCCCCGAGCCCACCGCGTCCCCAGCGCCCCAGCGGGGGCCCCGCCCACTGCCCCCTCCGCCACGAACGGTTTCTCCCGCGTCGCAGCTCCCCCCCCTCCCCCGCGTCTCCAGCGCCAGTGTGGGACCCCTGCGCCGTGGCTCTCTGCCCCAAGCCCCACTGCGTCCCCAGCGCCCCAGCGGGGCCCCCGCCCACTGCCCCCTCCGACACGAACGCTGTATTACACGTCGCACCCCCCCCCTCCGCGTCCCCAGCGCCAGAGTGGGACCCCCGCGCCGTGGTTCTCTGCCCCGAGCCCCCCCCGCGTCCCCAGCGCCCAAGCGAGGGCCCCGCCCACTGCCCCTTCCGCCACTAACGCTTCATCCCGCGTCGCGCCGCACACCACCTCCCCCACCTCCCTCCCCGCGTCCCCAGCGCCCCAGTGGGGACTCCGCCCCGTGCCCCCTCCGCCCCGACAATTTTATTCCGCGTCGCGACGCACGCCACCTCCCCCCCTTTCCCCAGCGCCCCAGTTGGACCCCCGCCCCGTGGCCCTCTGCCCCAAGCCCCGCCCAGTGCCCCCTCCGCCCCGACAGTTTATTCCGCGTCGCGGCACACACCACCACCCCTCCTCTCCGCGCCCCCAGCGCCCCAGTGGGACCTCCGCCCCGTGCTCCCTCCGCTCCGAGCACTTTATTCCGCGTCGCGACGCACGCCGCCTCCCCCACCCTCCCCACCTGGGACTTGGGCCCCGTTGCTGGGCCCAGAGGGCGATGCCTTGCCCCCTCTTCCCCCCTCCTCCTCCACCTCCTCCTCCTCCTCCCCCTCCTCCTCCTCCTCCTCCTCCTCCTCCTCCTCCTCCTCCTCCTCCTCCCCCTTCCTTTTTGTGCAAGGGCTGTGGCACACGTGCCACTTGTTTCTGCTCGCCTGAGGTCACCGACTGGGTGTCGGCCTTCGTCCCCACGCAGGCTTCGCTCCAGGGCGGTTCTGCGCATCCCGTGCAGGAGAATTCCGGTCGCGGCGGCGACCTTGGCCCCCAGTGCCCCCTGGGGGAGGAGGAGAGGAGGAGGAGGAGGAGGAGGAGGAGGAGGAGGAGGAGGAGGAGGAGGAGGAGGAGGAGGAGGAGGAGGAGGAGGAGGCACCCCAGAGTCCCCACGGAGCGCCGTTCAGCGGGCCCTCGGGGCCGGATTGGCTCTGGCTGCCCTGGAGGAGGGATGGCGAGCAGGACTTTCGTTCGAGCCACGGTGCTTGCTACGCCGGCGAGCGTGGCCATGAGTAGCTTTGAGTCGGGCCTGTCCTTCTAGAGGAGGAATATTCAAATACCAAAAAATAGTATGGGGACGATGTGTGTGAGTACTTGGACCATGCTTGAATTTGTTTTGACTGTTTTTAATATTCCGTCCAAGTCCGCCTGTGGGAGGACATGGTCGGCGTAATGCTTGCTACAGCGGCGAGCGCGACCGTGAGCGGCCAGGGGCGCCCCTCAGGCTCACAGGAGAGCGTCTGCTGCCGCTGGAGAATTTCCGTTCGAGCCGCCTTCGAGCCGCGCTCAGAGGAGAAAGAACATCTACTCTGGAGGAGGGATGGCTCTTCCCCTCGCCAGTGCTTTTTTACTTCTGGGTTGCTGCTGTAAATAAAGTCACTGGGCCGTCTCTGCGCGTCCTGTCACGGAGTGCACGGGTCACTCGAGCGATGTCGTGGTCGCCTCTCTGTCCAGTACAAATAAAAAAAACTCTGGAGGAGGGATGGCGGGCACGAGCAGGATCTTCGCTCGAGTCGCGGCGCTTGCTGCCGCGGCGGGCGCGACCGCGAGTGGCCAAAGGCGCCCCGCAGGCTCACGGGAGAGCGTCTACTGCCGCTGGAGAACTTTCGCTCGAGCCGCCTTCGAGCCGCGCTCAGAGGAGAACACCTACCCTGGAGGAGGGACGGCGGGCACGAGATGGATTCTTCGCTCGAGCCGCGGTGCTTGCTGCCGCGGCGAGCGCGACCGCGAGCGGCCATGGGGCGCCCCGCAGGCTCCAAGGAGAACGTCTACTACCGCTGGAGGGCCTTCGCCTTCGCGCAGGCGCGGCGGGGACCTCGCCCCAGAAGCGCGGTGGCGGCAGACCGTCGGGGGCGGAAAAGAGGGGGGTGATGACTAGGGGGGGGGACATCATGGCGGGGGCCATGATATCTCCCCAGATTTCATGGCGCCTCTTCTTATTTCATTACGTCCCTGGCCCCCCCGCTGGGCCGCGCACATGCCGCCGGTCATGATTTGCACACACCCCTCTTGGACACCCCCCTCTTGGCCGCTCCCGAGACCGGGCACCGCAGGCTTGAAGGGCACGAGCCCCGCCTGCCGTCCTCATCCAGGCCGATGCCTGTGCGACGTCCGCTCGACCTCTTCTCACCACTCGGGGTTCAGCGAGTGTCAGGCGATCGCGAACATGGATCAAGGGGGCGTGGATTAGCGACGGGTCCCGTTTCCATGGGAAATCTCGGATTTCCGCCGTCGAGTGAGGCGGCACCTGCCGCATTTTGGGGAGGGCACCTCCCCCCGATCCATGGATTTGGCGACCGCGCGCCATTTGCGCGCCCCCGAGCATGTGCCGCGAGCGCCTGCTCGCTTTGGGACTTCTCTTCTTCCGGCTCTGATTGATCCGAAGACCACGCGGGTGTTGCAGGGGATGGTACGGGCGGCGTGCACTGGGCGTCGCGTGTGCTTCTGTAAGGCTGAGCCAGGGGTGAGGGGGAGAGCGGGCCCTGCTTCCCTCAAGCGACGCAGGGCTGGCCCCGGAGAGAAGGCCGAGACTCTCGCGGCCCGGCGTCGTGGAGAGCCCACGACGTCGGAGGACTGCTGGGGAGACCGAGCCGATGTCTATGTCCTCGGAGGTGGGATACGATGGTCAAACGCAGTGTTTGGGACGTCTGGCAGCCGAACAGCAACGCGAGGTCGGTCGTGCTCCCCGTGTCGCTCTCGTCTTTGCCGTAGTCTCGCCGGCCATCTCCGGGGGCAGCGGCCAGGGCAAGGGCCAGGGCCTCGGCGCGGCCAATTGGCGCGCCGCAGCGCGCGCTCTGTTTTTTTTCCTGGTGCTCAGAGTAGGGGCACGTGCTCCAAGTTGCGCGCTCCAGAAAGGTCCTCACACCTGAGGATCGAAGGAGTTGGCATCTCTTCCTCGGCAGGAGGTCGGCGGAAGGCAGCGGAGGTAAAGCGGGACTACGTCCGCCGGCGGAAGGCCGGCGGAGGCTGGTGGAAGTAAGACGTGCACCCCAGAGAGTTGTTTTTCGGGGTGGTTCAGGGTGTCCAGAACCCAGCAAGTGTTTCCTCCAAGAGGGACGCAGCTGGAGCAGGGCTCTGAGGGCGAACGTCCCCAAGCATCCAGCGGAAGCAAGTCTATCGAGACGGCGCTTTCTTCGCCGTTTTGGGCGTGTGGGTCAGGAGACGGCGTGGGATGAACAGAACGTCAGGGGGCACGGCGTCGAAAGCCTGAGAGCCGATGGGTTGCAAAACAATTCAGATAGGCGTGTGCATAGGTCTACGCGTCGGGGCAGGCATGGCCGCATATCATTCGATTCGATGCGATGCGATTCGCCGGCTGGGGCCGCGATTCCGATTGGATTGGACCTGGTGCCAGGCGCGGCGATTCGATTTTCATTCGATTGGGACGGCTCGCTGGCGATCCGACCCGTTATCGACCCGATCCGGTTTCGCGATTCGATCTTGTTTGGGCCTGGCAGGATGCCGTCGCCAGAAGGACGGTGCTCGCGGGGTGGTCAGGTGAGCTCATGGCCCCCTCGACGGGGACCGCTACAGTCGAACAGCTGATTGCGAAACCTCCTCCCGACGAGCTGGACCAGCGTTTCTCAACCAATTTGCCGGAAAGCTGGCCGGTAACAGAAATTGGCCAAGAGGTAATTTTGTTTATGGAGATTTTGGGAAGTTGGTCCAGATTTGCTTTTTGTTTGAATGTCGACTGTAAGCACGGACATTTGCGTCGTTCTCTCTGGTTGGATTTTTCAGAGGCCTGGCTTGCAGTGTTCTGCCTTGGGGGGCACTGTTGGGCGCGCTTGACTGGAGTGCGTTGTTCTGCTCCCGGGCGATAGCAGGCGTTACCCGGGGGGGGGGGGGGGCGAAGTGGGGCGGTGACGTCAAGTTTCGCGCCAGCGCCGCGCGCCGTCCGGGAGTGCCTCGGAATAGCCAAGACGGCTCGGAGCTCCGCACGCATCGTGACGTTACCTGGGGGTGCCCAGACATCCGCCGATCCGATTTTTTCAGTCCGCGGCCCCATAGGTCCCGACCCCTTCCGCGGGGGTGGTTTGTCATCCCGGATCCCTTTCTGATGGTGTTCGGGCCCGAGTCCCGGGCCTGGAAGCCGCATCGAGGAAATCCGCCTGGATTGAAAAAATCATATCCTCGGATCTCGAGGGGGGTGGGGCGCCCGGGGCGGGAAGCGGCCGCCGTCGCGAAGCACTCACGGGACGCTCCTCTGCACCTCGTCTTGCCCAGCGCTGCCGAGCTGCCTCGGGCTCGGGCTGCCGGGCTTCCTTCCCCCTCCACAC